AACCTAAGCTACACAAAACGTATTAATAATCGAATTAACTATTAATATAAATTATGTTTTCCGAGGACTATGAAAAAGGTCCTCAGAAGGTGTGTATTGCTTTCGTAAGTAGCTATATATCTGTATTTTTGTCCTCGCAACATATAGCAATCCAAGTACACACACACACACACACACATACAGACACACTAACTGCAAAGATTCCCTTTTTGTGCTTCGCACACGGGAGTCAAAAACCAACAACACATGATTAGAAAAAAAGATGTCAAAGAAACCAAACAAATGTTTATATTTCAGCCATGCGAAAGTTTTAATGAGAAGACATGATACCAGATACATTTTGTTAGAAATAAACAAAATATGCAATAAGATGACTGAAATGACCCACCCTTGCTCTACAAATGCATTAAGCACACCAAATATGCAACAACAGGCAGTTCCAATGAAATTAAGATCAGTTAAAAAGGGTTCGAAAAATTTATTTTGGCGAAGAGACTGCTAGAAAGTTGTACCGAGAGTTCAACGTGTCCAAAAAATTTTGTGTTGACTGAAACCGCATTTAACGGCACGCTGAATATTGCAACATGAACAATTTGCCAAAAAACTGAAACAAGGACAGACAAGAACAATTAAACAGGCATTTTATGAAACTGGCGGAAAATATTGATTACCGGTACATTTTAAACGATTTCCACGGCGTATACAAAAAAAGTGTAAAGACTTTAAACAAAATGGCTGATGAAGTGACGCGAAAGCACAACGATAAAATTTACTCTAATAAGCCCCCGAATCGCATACAACCGTCATAAGTATGCACAGTAGTATACTAAAAATTCATTTGGTAGTATTTTTTATAATATAATGTATTTTAACATAATGACTTAGGGGTTAGAATTTTCGTCACTTTTTATTCCGGGACCCAAGCTTACTTTCATGACAACAGTGAAAACGATTCTGAATGTTATCACAGTCACAAAGAGTACTCATCCAAAATGTATGTATAGTTTTTTGTAGAGCTTGTGCACTAAACGTGGGTATTCTATCGAAAACTAGCTGAAATTTTCAAATTCGCAGGACATCAAGTAATCGACACAAATGATACACGCATCCTTGAGGGATTAGGTAGATTCAAACCTTTTAACAATAGCGTTTCCTAACCGTCTTTTTTAGTAACCGTGATGTCAACAACCACAACAAATACTCACCTTACAATTAGAAAATAGAGTAAATGATATCCAATCTGTGGATGCTTTTCATACATGTGACATACTAATGTTAACAACTGGATAGGACAAGCATCTTCCTCAGGACTCTGACTTATATTCCTAGATTAATGATAAAGTCATGAAAATGAAACATTCTGCAATAACTGTTTCTACATCTCTGAATTCAAAAGCACAAAAATTTACATTTCCATTTGAGAGTTACAGTTTATGGTAGAAGTTTAAGCTACATGAATATTTTTATGAGTGTCTCCCCTTCAATCCCAATGCGTGATCCTGAAAAATTATTATGTTTTAAAATGAATAAAAATAAAAGAAACTTAGAAAAAACATACCTGAATATTACAAATACTGGTTTTGAAATAGACTCCAGCAGATTCCTGTAAAAATGTGACAAGGCATAATATATTTATTGTAATATTTGTAAAGTTTTCATCTTCTATAAATATATTCATACTGGAAATGAGTGCAACTGCATACAGTACCACAGACGTAAATGTTTTCTACTGCCCTGTAATATAAATAATACTACGTTTTGGCTCCTCTAATATTTTCCTTCAGGAATGGGGATACACTTAAAACTTGGCCTGTATGGGTTCTCTAGTAAACACCCTTGGCCGTATGGGGTCTCTAGTAAACACCCTTGGCCTGTATGGGGTCTCTAGTAAACACCCTTGGCCGTATGGGGTCTCTAGTAAACACCCTTGGCCTGTATGGGGTCTCTAGTAAACACCCTTGGCCGTATGGGGTCTCTAGTAAACACCCTTGGCCGTATGGGGTCTCTAGTAAACACCCTTGGCCTGTATGGGGTCTCTAGTAAACACCCTTGGCCTGTATGGGGTCTCTAGTAAACACCCTTGGCCCTATGTGTCTCAAACATGAACTAAAACTTTGATTCCAACCTGGCTGTTAACTCACATAGCTTTTTTTTCAATTGTTTCAATTTTTTAAATGTTACAATTATATTTTAATTGTATGACAAAGCAGGGGATATTTACTCACTCTTCTGATAGTTCCTGAGGAATCAATTCTCCGTTAAAATGGTCTTTATATAATTGTAACAGTAGAGATGCCAGTGGTGCTGCTTGCTCACTGTCAAACTCATCCTAAAGTGGAACACATTAAAAACAATTATTTGAATAATTTAGAAAACAGAAATTCAAAATTACGCAGAGCTTTTATCCAATCAAAGATGTGTAGTCACACATCCGATCATTCATGTTATTCATTCTTGTTATTTATTATTAATTAAGTTTTGTAAATTCTTTTGGTATAAATGATTTCTATGTTGTACTATGCATAAACAGTTAAAATAAGAAAATACAATTTTAAATTATTGTTGAAACATCACAAATTAAATAGATACTGTAAATGAATTAATTGTTCACTGGGTTTTAATTTTGCTATTTTTGCTGATAAGTAAAATCTGCTAAATTAAATCTGTCAACATGTAAAATAACAATAACACTCATTGTTTCCTTCACAAATTTGTGAAATTAAAACCCAGTGAATATGCTCAAAACATCAAAATAGTGAAATTAAATGTCAGTGAAAATAATGGTTTTACAGTACATTTTCACTGGGTGTAAAGAAGTAATAGAATTATTTCTGGTGAAATTCTTACCATTTTTGGTACTTTTCGGTGAATGTGACCACCACAAAGACATAAGTGGTCATATGCCTGGATGCAAACTTGAAAGTAGCATAGATTTATTACTCACCATTTCCAAAATTGCTCCACAAAGCGTTTCCATAGTTTCACACTGTGATTCTGTATCAACTAACTCTCTTCAGAGAGAAAAACAAACGAAAAACACTGATATTAGTGAGAAAAAAAAATTCAGAAATCCATGAAAATAAATGTAACAAATACTTGTCTACCATAAACAGTACATATTCATGATGGTCTAGGACATCCAAACAGAGTTTGAATTTAAAGTACTGGAAAATACTTTATTTTTGCTAGAATTAATTTTCGCTGATTTCTGACGAGTTGAATGTGAAATTTACCAATCATTCCTTCAGAGAAAAAAGCAAAAATGAAGTATTTTGCAGTAATTATATTATTTACATTGGATGCAAAGTTTTCAACTTTTTTTGCATAAAAGTTGAAAATGTTGATGAAAAAAAATATGAGTGAATCAAAACAGACCAATTTACATAAAATCACTTCTGAATCATTGTTATAAATGATTTCAAAGATTTCAAAGATGAGGGTACACTTGGTGTGATATAAGATGAAGATCTCAAATGAATTGACGAAAGGTCATATTCAGAGATGATTACAAAATCCTAAAACAGATGTACATTTCTAGAAATACTTAAATGCAAATGAGTAAATCTATAAAAGAACTGGTTAGTGTTCATCACTCACTTTTCTTCAGAAAGTTTCCTAACAGATGTACATTTCTAGAAATACTTAAATGCAAATGAGTAAATCTATAAAAGAACTGGTTAGTGTTCATCACTCACTTTTCTTCAGAAAGTTTCCTAACTACGTCTTTGAGTTCATCAGACAACTGATCTACACACTGATCAATGTCTACTTCTTCCAGGTCTCTGATTGGTCGGAAGAAATATTCCTGTACCTTCAGTTTACCTAAAAGGTACAAGATAATGTAGGTAACGCTCCATTAAATATGCTTAACACACATTCCAGGGCCATCTACTTGGTGAGCACTGGTTGCATTATAACACACATTCCAGGGCCATCTACTTGGTGAGCACTGGTTGCATTATAAACACACATTCCAGGGCAATCTACTTGGTGAGCACGGTTTACATTATAACACACATTCCAGGGCCATCTACTTGGTGAGCACTGGTAGCATTATAAACACATTCCAGGGCATTCTACTTGGTGAGCATAGTTTACATTATAACACACATTCCAGGGCCATCTACTTGGTGAGCACTGGTAGCATTATAAACACAGATTCCAGGGCCATCTACTTGGTGAGCACTTTCATTATCTCTCCAAAGGTAGAGCGGGGATCACCATCCAGGCAAACACTATGTGACCAATAGACTCTTTTTTACCTTTATCATCGTCCTCATCATCACTGAATGTAGCTTCATCAAATTTATTCGGAATGTCACTATCTGAGAAATCAATGTCTTTATTTATCAGTGGTTGTATTGTTGGTGGTAGTGTGTTCGATGGCGGAGGTGTTGTTGGTGACTGAGGCGGTGGCGTTGTGGTTGAAATTTGCTCTGAGTCTTTTATAGCTGAAAGAGAACACAATAACTAATAAGTATATGACTGAATTTGAATTAAAACAGGAAGTGAAATAAAAAAAAAATTAATTCTAGTAGATCAACAAGATATTTGAAGTATAGCAGATTATTATCATAGCGATCAATTCATATTTATGAAAGTTGAATCATCTTGATAAATAAATGTATGATTTTTGTTTTAAATTCAGTTGAAAAGAAAGACCTAAAGGTTTACTTATATAGACATCATTCAGATTTTGGATCCAATTAAGTATGAATGGTACCAGTAGCTATTTTAATCAACTGTTTTTCAGCATTGTCTGAAACAGAGTTTATGACAACAACAACTCATCTAAGCAAAAAGCAATGATTTTTGAATGTGAATCTTTGAAAACATAAAATATGCAATTATACATGAGGCAGCTAGAGGTACCCTATAAGAATAAACTTTTAATTACCTTCAGCTGAGCAAAATTCACTAAAGTTTTCCCTAATCATGGATCGCAATTCCTTATCTAACTTTGCATTATCCAATAATGGTAGGAGAGATCTGAGAACAACATATTAAAATACATAATATAAACAATTATAATATCTCACCGTTGTTACACATGCTGTGATTGGTTGAGACTCTGTCACATGACATTGAATAAAAATGGATATTACTTGGGTATATCACATGGATGACGTCACTAAAACGACTGCGCAACGATACTGCGCATAACAAATTGTCGTTCACTACACTGGTGCTGCCCCGGCCACTGTCGTTTCAGGGTTGCTTTCAAGGTTTTGAAGGAACTTTAGTCATCCGAAATAGGGTATTTTTTATATGAAGCAAAAACGTACGCCAAGACCACCACATTTGTACACATTCAACGCCAATGCTAACCGAACACGCTCTAAAGCTATGTGGCTTGAGAATAGGTGTGATAACTTTAGTGAGAAAGTTATTTCAGTCACTTGCACGGCACTCTGAAGAGTGATCAAATAACTTGAGTTTCATTTCAAAAATGTTATTCTTGATAATTTGAGTGATTCACACTGCTGAAACACGGTTACTAAAAAGAGTATTCGTGGCTGAAAATAACATTTACTGAGTGTATTTCGTTGTTTTTTTCAGCAAACAATGTATGTATGTTATTGAGTAATGTGAAACTTGTTATAATAGATAAAATAAAATATTGCATACTTCAATATAAGTGTTGTTATTTTGTGGGAGAGCGGATGTGAGTGATGTATGGTAGATGTGATTGTCATGGTAGATGTCTGTTCGATGTGATAAAATAAATAACACATGCCTTCGGCTCTGGCATCATCAATATTATGGTCATGACAACCATCCCTTGGGCAGGCAACAATTCGTGATATTACCCCCACAAGCATGTGTTATTATTTAATTAGAACACTTTGCCACACTTGGTCATGTGACCTATTCGGACCATAAGTGTGGCTGTTACACATGAAATAGCACGGCTA